TATGTCTATTTGTGTGATGACTCTTATTTCTCTAGGATATATTCCTAGGAGTGGGATTGCTGGATCATATGGTATTTCTATTTCTAGCTTTCTAAGGAAATGCCATATCATTTTCCAAAATGGTTGTACCATTTTGCATTCCCACCAGCAGTGCATAAGAGTGTCAGTCTCCCCAGAGCCTCTCTAACATTTGTTATTTTGTTTTTTTGATTCGAGGTTTTTTGTTTTTTTGGGTTTTTTTTGCCAAAAGAAAATTGCCTGGTCTTGTAGCCTATGGCTCTGACAGTACATGATAACCTTGATTTTATTCAGATGACTATGTAAAATTGGTTTTAGTTATTTGGGCGAGGGTGGCATTATTTTAGGCTCAACGCATTAGCATAATATAATACACTCTTGCCACTGATGTTCTATAATAAAAGGTTCATTCCTTTCATTTAAATATCCTTGTTCCTGTTAAAATGGAAAAACAATAAGAACAACTATCATCACCACCACCACCCTATGAAAGGAAAAGAAATTTCTCTTACTACTGACCTCCTGAAGGAGCCCTGATGGCTCAAGGGTTAAGAGCTCAGCTGCTAACCAAAAGGCTGGCAGTATGAACCCACCCAGAGGCTCTGTGGGAGAAAGACCTGGTGATTTGCTTTATAAAGATTACAGCCAAGAAAACCCTATGGGGTAGTTCTACTCTGTCACACGGGGTCACTATGAGTTGGAATCAATTTGACGGTACACAACAACTGTCAAACTCAATTAGTTCTTCTCAGTAATTACATTACTTAATATCTCAGATACTCTCATTACTTAGACATTTCTTCCTCCTTTAAGTTTCTGGGATATCTAATTCTGGTTCCCGTCCTGTCTCTCTGACTTCTTCATTGGATCTTCCAGACTCCTTTTTAGCCACCCATTCCTTAGACATTTTTCATACCACCCCCCCCGCCCCGCCCCAGTTTCATCCCTGGCTCACTTCTCACTCTATACACTTCTCCTGAGTCATATATACACCCATGCCTATGACGTTCTAGAAAACGATGACTCCCAAGTCTGTTTTGTGAGACATAGTGAGAAAGAGGTATCAGGAACCCTGGCAATTTTGTTCACACAACTTGACCCTGTGCCTAGGCCATAACTGACTGGACCAGGGATGAATATCTGAGTAAATATAATTTTCTGCCCCAGAAGTTTTAGAAGTGGGATTGAGATATTATTCAGTATTGCTTGCCTGAACTGATGACATGTAAACTCAGATCCATAGTGGCATCATCAAGTCTGGCTACGTGAGTGCGTAAGGAGGGAAAGTCAAACTGCAAGAAGATTGAAGGAGATACACTGAGAGAAGCAGAAATGAGAGATCATACAAAGAGAAGAGGAGGCTAGGGGAGGAGAAAAAGAGAGTGAGAAGAGGAGAGACTAAAAAAGGTAGCCAGAGACAGAGGCATACAGATAAGTGACTGATTTCTGGAAATCCTGATGGCCTTTCTAGTTCCTGGTTCCAGTCCCTTATGAGTTCCAACTGTAGTTGTTGCCTTTGGATTCCTTGAGATAACCCGTTCTTCTTCCAACAAATTTCTTTTTATTTAAGCTACTTTGAAGTGGCTCTCTATTATTTATACCCAAAGTATGCCTATAACATTTACTATTTATATATATGCATATATAATTTATAAATATACCTTAGACCTATATATTATTTAGAAATATAAAACTCATGTCTGTTATGTAGACATGATAGACTATGTAATAAAATATTTAAGCATAATAAATATATGTATGTATACATGTATGTGTATGTATATGGACGAGATGTTACACAGGCAACATACTCAAAGCTAAATTCATTTACTTCTACCTCTGCTCCCAAACCTTTTCCTCCTGCTATATGCCTAATCTTCACTAATGGATTTACCATTCCCCAAGTCACCCAAGTCGGAAAACCGGGAGTTACCCCTGACCTCCTAGAGAGACAGGTACTCCTCACTTGCGTTTCCTTATAGTCTATTATAGTCTATTCCATATATATATATATATATATACAGCATTTAACCCACAGTTTATCTATGAGTCTTTCCATTCATTGGTAGGCAGCCTAGGAGTTTGGGGTAGGGTAAGGAGGAAAGGGCACTAACATTTAACATTTTTGTTGAGTATCTACAATGTGCCAGGGCATATTTATATGAATAAAATAATGAATTCTACTCATTCGAACGATATTTATTGAATATTAATTTTTATGATAAATAGTATAGAGATACTAGGACAATAAAGAGAATCCTGGTCCTCAAGGAGTTTACAATCTAAAAAGGAAGATTAACAATATAGTGCTGGAAGATGAGCCCTTTAGGTTGAAAGGCACACAAAATACACAGTGGCCACACAATGGACCCAAGCATACCAACAATGGTGAAGATCGTGTAGGACTGGGCAACTTTTTGTTCTGTTTTACATAGGTCTGTATGAATTGAGGTCGCCATGAGTCAGCAATGACTCAACGGCAACTATCAATTTTTTTAGAGGATCAGATATTACATATTATTTTGTATCTTGCTTTTCTCACTTACTGTGTGGATATCATCCTTTTTAAATTTTATTATGGTGAAAATATACATAAAACGTGCCACCTCCACAATTTCTACATGTAGAATTCAGTAACATTGATTACATTATTCAAATAAATAAAAAAAAGGGAAGATTGAGAAGTACATAAAGTGCTTTGAGAGTTCAGAGAAAGAAGAGATCACTTATCCCAGAGGATGGAGGATCCTGGGAGAAAAATATCAGCATACTCAATTTGCTGTATCTCTCCTCCTAAATTTTCACTAGCTTTTTTTTCAGCTTATTAAGTATGATGGTTGTAAAACTGCAACTTCTCTTCATAAATTTCAGTTCTAATGGTGCAGTATTGTAAAACTGTGGCACAGGTTTATATCATATAACGAAACTTCAGCATGCTTGCTTCCTGGTTAAATCATAAAAAGAAAATTTAAACAAAAATTTTAGAGTCCCTGGGTGGTGCAAATGGTTAAGCGCTCGACTACTAGTCGAAAGGTTGGCTGTTGGAGCCCACCCAGAGGCCTCAGAAGACAGACCTGGCAATCTGTTTCCAAAAGGTCACAGCCTTGAAAACTTTATGGAGTAGTTCTACTCTGCACACACGTGGTCACCATGAGTCGGAACCCACTCAATGGCAACTACAACAACAACAAACAGAAGTTTACTAGCTCACAGAGAAAAAGAGTGAGTAGAGACAAAAAGCATAGGCTATTATTTAGAGAAGTTTGGCTGTTTGAAGGCAGGGACTATATTGAAACACTTTCAGCAATCATAACCCTATATATTTCTGGTTCTCTTCCCAACTCCTTGACTGTTCTTTTTACAGCCAGGATGTATAGGTCCTCCAACTTCATTCTTCTTTTTCAAGATTGTTTTGGCTATTCTGGGTCCTCTACCTTTCCACATTGTTATGGATTGAACTGTGTCCCCCAAAAATATGTACTGTAAATTCTAATCTCTGCCTGTGGTTATAATCCCATTTGTGAATGGGTTGTGTTTATTATGTTAATGAGGCAGATTAGGGTATATCTTGAGTCATTCTCTTCTGAGATATAAAAGGGATCAAAGAAGCAAGGGAGAGAAGAGATGGGAGAATAGAGATGCCAAGCCACACGAAGATTGCCCAGAAGCAGAAGCTCAAAGAGACAAGGAGCTTCCTCAGAGCTGATAGAGAGAAGACCCCTTTTCCTAGAGCTAGGACCCTGAATTCAGACTTCTAGCCTCCTAAATTGTGAGAAAATAAATTTCTATTTGTTAAAGCCACTCACTTAATGGTACTTGTTATAGCAGCACTAGATAACTCAGACACATAAATTTTAGGATCAACTTGTCAATTTTAACAAAAGAGTCTGCTGGAATTTTGACAGGGATTGTATTCAATCTATAGATCGATTTGGAGAAAACTGCTATCTAAATAATACTGGATCTTGCAATCCATTAACATGAAATGTCTTTCCATTCATTTAGATTTTCTTTAGTTTCTCTTAGCAATACTTTATTGTTCTTAGTGTACAAGTCTTTTGTTAAGTTTATTCCTGCGTAATTTGTTCTTTTTGATGCTATTATGATTGGAATTGGAGCCCTGGTGGCGCAGTGGTTAAGAGCTACGGCTGCTAACCCAAAGGTCAGCAGTCTGAATCCACCAGCCACTCCTTGGAAACCTTATGGGGCAATTCTACTCTGTCCTATACGGTCGCTATGAGTCGGAATGGAATCGACTCAATGGCAATGAGTTTTTTTTTTGTATGATTGGAATTTTCTTAATTTCATTTTCAAATTGTTCATTGATAGTGTATATGTATACAATTGATTTTTTAATACTGATCTCATATCCTGCAACCTTGCTGAACTCATTTATTAGTTCCAATAGTATTTTTGTGAATTTTTTAGGATTTTCTACATAGAAGATCATGTCATCTGTGAATAAAAACCGTTTTACCTCTTCCTTTCCAGTATCAATACTTTTTATTTTCTCTTTCTTGTCTGATTGCACTGGTTAGAACCTCCAATATGAAGTTGAATAGGAGTGGTGAAAGTGGACATCCTTGCCTTGTTCTTGATCTTAGGGGGAAGCATTCAGTCTTTTACCATTAAGTATAATGTTAGCTGGGGTTTTTTTGTAGATGATCTTTATCAGGATGAGGAAGTTCCCTTCTAGTCATAGTTTGTTTGTTTTTTTTAAATCATGAATGGGTGCTGGATTTTGTCAAATGCTTTTTCTGCATCTATTGTCCTTTATTCTATCAATATGGTGTATTACATTATTTTCAGATGTAAAACAACCTTGCATTAGTGTAGTAAATCCCACTTGGTCACAGTGTATAATCCTTTTTATATGTTGTTGGATTCAGTTTGCTAATATTTTCTTGATGATTTTTTTATCTATATTCATGAGAGATATTGTTCTACAGTTTTATTTTCTTGTAATATCTTTGGTGTTGGTATCAGAGTAATACTGGTCTCACAGAATGTGCTGGGGAGCGTTCCCTCCACCTCTATTTTCTGAAAGAGTTTGTGAAGGATTGGTATTATTTCTTCTTTAAATGTTTATAAGATGATTGCTTTTTAATATTTTTAATCTTGTGTCCTTCATCCCATCTAGCACAGTGTTTTGTATAGTGTCTGGCTCAATAAATATTTGGAAATGAACTGAATTATGCAACAACATCCAGAAATGGCTAAAATAATATTTAAAGAGTCCTGAATTTCAACCAAAGGCACTTTAAAAATGAAGAATACTATGAAAAACAAACTCACAACTACTTTTAAGTTTACAAAAACTGAAATATTTACTTACTAGGTAATAGCTCTCTATCAGCAGTCTCAGTGCAGCTAGGGTAGGGGTAAAATAGATGGCCTTTCTCTAAAGGGTAGGGAATCATTCTAAAAGCTGAGGAAAAAAAAAAAATGTTGACATTCAATTCTGTCTCGTTTACCATTCTACATAACAGATCAAAGCTATTTTAGAGATATATTTTTATAAAATTTCCACACAGTATATATTTTTTTAGAGAGACATTTTAGATGCAAGAAATAAAGTGAGCAAAAAAATAAGGGGAAGAATATGATTTATTTAGAGAACAGTGAATGGTCTAGTCTGGCTGGACTAAAGGAGTGGTAGATGATAAGACTGCTTGGGTCCTTCTTTGCCTCAGTCTCCTCATTACAAACACAATAGATAACTCCCCAGGTATGAATTTCACTTCTTACAGGAATCTTCATAAAACTACAATGTATATAACTGTTGGGAACCTAAAAGAGTTCTCAATGTTTCCTAACTTCACATGTGAGATTTTACCAAGAATTTCGAGGAGTAGAGTTTAATCTAGATCAGGGGTCAGCAAAGTATGGACCTTTGGCCAAATCTGGCCTGGTATCTGTTTTTATGAATAAACTTTTATTGCAACACAGCTACATACATTCATTTACATAGTGTTTAAGGCTGCTTTCATGCTACAACAAGGGCTGAATAGTTGTGATAGAGACTGTATGGCCCACAAAGCCTAAAATACTTACTGTTTAGCCCTTTACAGAAAAAGTTTGCTAAGCCTTGATCTAGATTATCACCAACTGTTGCAGACTTCTTAAAGAAGGAATCCTTATTGATCTACTCAACTAGCTAAGTACTCATCAATCTTTCTCCTTCAGTGCTTGGCTCTATAAACTTTTGGTAAAATACGGATCTTGTTTTGTCAAAAAAAAAAAAAAAAGTAGTGATTTGTCAAAAGTCATAGATCAAATCAGTGTTAACTCTAGGAAGCCATCTATCAAGATGATTATTCATAAAATACAGTATAAATCATATACTTATTGAAAACTTCCTATGTGACAAGCAGAATACTAGGCATTAAAGACACATACAAGATAAATGAGATAGAATATCTGGTTTTGAGGAGCTGTAGGACAAAAAACTTGATTTGACCTTTGTTCTGGGTCCTGAAAATAACCCTTGTGATTTGTCAGCAATCAAGGTTCCTTTGTTTTCTTAAAATAGCTAGGCAACATTTAAACACGTGCAAATGAGTGGCGGCTACACAGACCCCACCTGGCAGTTAATCTCTGGAAGGGTGGAAGGGCATGATGTAATGAATCATGCATATTCATGGATTCAATCGATCATGACCATGCATTGAGGCCCCAATCATACATATGTATTGTTATAAAAGGCCTCAGAACACGGAAGCAGTTGGGCTTCATGACTGATGAGAACAGCCATGCACAGGCGAGGGTAGCACGTCCCTAGGGACAATGGAGGCCTCCCAGACTATGCCTGACATGTCTCTTTGAATTCTTTCTGGTTATAATAAATGGTTAGCTATAAGTATAGGTAGTCTCCTATACTTAGTTCTGAGAGTCATTCCAGTGAATTACTGAACCCACTGGTGGCAGTGAGAGCCAGCAAAGGCTGAAGGATAGAGTCTTAACTTGTGAAGACCCAGCTCTGGGTGGCTAGAGGTCAGAGAAAGGCTGTACGGGCAGTCGATCGAAAAGGACAGTCCTTCTGATTTGTAGGATCTGACCTAACTTTGGTTGGTTAGGGTCAGAGAAAGTGCCATGGATAGCTGGTGTTAGGATAATGGAGAAATGGAAAAGTGGGGGTATGAGTTATCTTCACATTTTGGGAATCAATCTTATGTCAATTTTTATTAACACAGGAGCTTATAAACTACTGGAGAAAAAGCAAAAGAAAGTCTTATTACCCAAAGGCATTCAGATCCTCAAGTGCATATTGTCAAGCACAGTGTCTGACCCATAGCAAATGGTTAATGTAAATATGTTCCCAAATTTTCTTGATTCAAGGACACATGGTGCCTTTAATGTCTCAGTAAATTTTTAATGGTGTCCCTAGGTTGAAAGAAATATCTAACAGTTCCATTTATTAAGTAGGAAGCTCAAACAACTTAAAAAGTTTATGTCCTTACAATTTAGCAGTCATTTGGAAAAACTAATACGTGAAAATTGAAAGAAAAAAATAATTTTCTTATCTGGTTCACAAATAACCATCATTTCTTACAAATGGGATGTATGAGTCTGCTGGGAACCATAGAGCTTCTCAAACTTTGAAATCAGATTGGACACCAACATCCTCATTCCACATTGATTTTTGTGTGGTACTTCTTTTTATCACAGCAACTAACACAAAACCCAGCTTTGCAGAGATATGATGACACTGAAAGGAATGGAGAGCCACCTAATGTTAAAACTATGATCTATCTCAAGCTAATGGTTTGAGTGGTGTCTGACAGATGTCCAGTATTGCTGCGTTTCCACTGAAAATTTAAAATATTCCATAGCATTCTTAAGAATTTGCTGTGAGGTACCAGACAGATGGGAAAAAAGGAAAGAATGTCACACTGAAAACCATTAAGAAGCAGAAACACAAGGGATGTGAAACAGTTCGCACTGTGACTAAAACCGTTTCCAACAACTCTTTCTTTAATTTTTTTGCCCCTCCTGAAGTTCCTGGGAGTGGAGATTTGGATGATGCTGCTGAAGCTATCCTTCCTGCGGACTTTGAAAGTGGTCACTTTTTACGTGTATAATTCCAAGATCAGTGTTATACTTTACTGGAGAAGCTATTGAAGATGATGATGATGATTATGATGAAGAAGGTGAAGAAGCAGATGAGGAAGGGGAAGAAGAAGGAGATGAGGAAAATGATCCAGACTATGACGTGAAGAAGGATCAAAACCCAGCAGAGTGCAAGCAACAGTGAAGCAGGATGTATGTGGCCTTGAGGATAACCTGCACTGGTCTACCTTCTGCTTCCCTGGAAAGGATGAATTTACGTCATTTGACAAGCCTATTTCAAGTTTTTTGTTTGTTTGCTTGTTTTTGTTTTTGCAACTTAAAATAAAAATGTCAAATACAAAAAAAAAAAAAGAATTTGTTGTGAGGCCTTAAAGTACCTCAATGCAAAGTTTAGGAACCAATATGGTTAACCAATTTTAGTGAATGAGCACTGAATTATTTTTTTAATTTTTATTGATAGCTGTGGTGTACTTTCTAAGAGAATTACTATAAGAATCCAACTGATAATATATTTTGATTAAGCTTCTTTACTTTCTTGGTGATTATAAGAAGTTACAAATAAGAGACCTGGCAGGTAGTTTAAAACAGTCCAATTTAAAAAATATTAGAATAGCTCAACCACATTAAAAAGCTTATAAACCAGGGACGATAAATCTGCATTTTCTTTCCTTACAAATATATAATTTAAATGAACATATTTTATTATAGTGCATCAAGCAATGCACTTGGCAGAATACCGTAACAGTTTCTTATTCTGCTTTTCCTAAATGTGACATCAATATAAATACATTAAGCATTTCCACCAATAAACTAAATATAACACTGAGTTCACTTCGAAACCAATCTGAACAACAAATCCTTATGGAAACTCAGACGATCTCATCAAAGAAGACTGCCTGTGAATGCAATGAACAGTCAGAGAGATTAGTGTTAGATTTGGAAAAGAATACTTACTGCCTTCCCAGGTGCACTGTAACAGATTAAGAGCACCCTCTATTCGCTTCCAGTGCTGAAGATGAAAGAAAGCATAGGCAATTGCTTCACTATCGCCCCGTTTCAGAATGTGTTCTGGAGGTAAAATTAGACTTTTCATCTCTAGTAAGTACTGAAAAAATAACACACATACAACAAAAAAGAAAAGGAAAATTATGTTAACTTCAAACATTCAAAAAAAGTTAGATTCAAGATGTTATAAAGTAAAAATGATTTAAAAAAATTAAACTACTTGAAATGACATAAAGGGCCTACTAATTACATGTATAAATGCTTATACATGCAAATTCCAAAGGTCAGAACATTCCTATAAGTAAAAACAAAGTTATAAATGGCTTATGTGTATGATGAAATGCTCGCAATCACTAGCCATTAGAGAAATGCAAATCAAAACCACAATGAGATACCACCATACTCCAGCATTACTGGAACTCATCAAAAAAACAGAAAATAACAAATGTTGGAGAGGCTGTGGGGAGATTGAAACTCTTATGCACCGCTGGTGGGAATGCAAAATAATACAACCATTTTGGAAAATGATATGGTGCTTCCTTAGAAAGCTAGAAATAGAAATACCATATGATCCAGCAATCCCACTCCTAGGAATATATCCTAGAGAAATAAAAGTCGTCACATGAATAGACATATGCACATCCATGTTCACTGCAGCATTGTTCACAACGGCAAAAAGATGGAAACAACCTAGATGCCCATCAACAGATGAATGGATAAATAAACTATGGTACATACACACAAAACAGTACTATCAAACGATAAAGAACAATGATGAATCTGCAAAGTACCTCATAACATGGATGAATCTGGAGGGCATTATGCTGAAATAGGTCAATCACAAAAGGACAAATATTGTATATGAGACCACTATGATAAAAACTCATGAAAAGGTTTACACACAAAAAGAAACAATCTTTGATGGTTAAGAGGGAGGGGAGGGGTGGGGATGGAAAAACACCAAAAAGACAATAGATAGGTGGTAACTTTTTTCTGGTAAAGGGTAAGACAGTACACAATACTGGGGAAGCCAGTACTACTTGTACAAAGCAAGGTCATGGGAGCTCTATAGACATATCCAAACTACCTAAGAGACCGAATTGCTGGGCTGAGGGCTATGGGGACCATGGTCTCAGGGAACATCTAGCTCAACTGGCATAACATAGTTTATAAATAAAATGTTCTACATTCTACTTTGGTGAGTAGCGTCTGGGGTCTTAAAAGCCTGTGAGCGGCCATCTATGATACTACATTGGTCTCACCCCTTTGGGAGCAAGGGAAAATGAAGAAAACTAAAGATACATGGGAAAGATTAGTCCAAAGGACTAATGGACCACAACTACCACAGCCTCCACCAGACTGAGTCCAGTACAACTAGATGGTGCCCAGCTACCACCACTGACTGCCCTGACAGAGGGTCCTGGACAGAGCTGGAGAAAAATGTAGAACAAAATTCTAACTCACAAAAAAAGACCAGACTTACTGGCCTGACAGAGACTGGAGAAACCCC